GGGGTCAAACGACCCCAGCAAGGTGTACATCCAGCCTCCTCTTAAAGACCCCCAGGGTAGGAGCCAGCACAACTTCTCTTGGAAGTTGGTTCCAGATCCTAGCCGCCCTGACCGTGAAGTAGCGCCTCCTGATATCTAGCCTAAATCTACCCTCTGCCAGCTTGTGACCATTAGTCCTAGTCACTCCTGGTTTCTTGAGGAAAGTCTGTTTTGTTTCTTGGTCATGTGTTATTAATTAGCTTGTAAGAATACTCTTGCCATTAGTGATATTATTGCCTTAAAAAGGTATACAAGATATACTGTATCATATGGATAATATGACTGTTACTATTTTTCCTCTGAGGTTTTTAAAGACATCTAAATCCTGAAAAAGTAAATTTCTGTCCTGGAAAAGGAGAGAAAAAACTGTTTGATCTACTATTGGTTAATGAAATACAATTTCAGCTAACCAGATGTCAGATAAAGCATCAATAATTATTTTAAAGTACAGGTTCACATGGTTATCTTTTACTTGGTTGCCTAATATTCCGGGGGACTGAACTCCATGACTTAGGTAGTTTCTTCCAGTCCTCTGTTTCTATGTTCCTAATAACCCTAATTTAAACAATCCAAGGTGGCACCATTTTTTAATTAAACAAGATAAATGTCAGAATTTACAATAGAGAAATAATAGATAAAGTAATCACTTAAATGTTGCTAAATTTAATTAGGAAACATTTTGGTATATTAGCATAAGAGAAGATTTGATACAAGACAACTCTTTGTCATATCGTATTACCGCTATAAAACATGAAAACCAACATTTTGGACTGTGGTTAAATCATAATTCATATATTATTTTGCTTCTGTGATTTTCAGTTTATCAAGCTCATCAGAAGCGCTGATGCAATCCTAACTATACTGGCACAAATGTAATAGTATAACAGACTTAAGAAATGTTTTATGGCTACTTGGTTTTCTCAGTATGTCATATATTGTAATACCGACCCATGGGTCATAAGATACATTGAGGACATGTGTTCATAACTCACTGGGCTGGTGAAAAGTGTATTTGAGGTGAGAGTCTGTCATTCATCCTTACAACTCACACTGCTGCCTGATCAAGAAAGAAAACTGACACTGCTCACAAAAGCAGCAGGAGTCAGCAGGAAAAGCAAGAAAACATTTGAGAAGAAAGAAATAATCTTTTTCAAGTAACCTACAGGAGCTGAACTATTTCACAAAACTTCCCATTAGTTCTCACCTATGATTTCCCACCATGTGTTTTCCTCAAACAAAGCCTGAAATGTTTTTCTCTCCGTTTCTTTTATACATTAGAAATATTAGTTTTTACTGGAGATTTTATGTACCACTAGAAAATCAAAGAGTTCTGATTACAACAAATTCAAGCCTAGGCAACTAAGAGGAAAGTTTTAAATCCGATTATTTAAAATGTGTTTTTAACACCTATCTAACAGAAACTCCCAATGATCACTTGGGAGAAGAGTTCTTTTTCCTAAAGAGTCAAAACATTAAATTGAGTGTAGTCTTTTCTGTCAAGGAATCTTTAAACAAAAACAAAGACTTAATATTTCTTATATTTCTAAAGGAAAAACAAGCAGAACAAAGCTTAAAATATTAAGAGAGGCTAAGACTTCTGTAATTCTTTATATAGCAGATAAAAAATAGACATAGGTTTTTCCTCCTTGCAGGTAACCACTTGTAGGCATAAACAACTTTCTTCCCTACCATTAAAATTATGCTGTTTGCACAGACAATAGTGTTCAAAATATTTTAGAATATATTTGCCATAATATAGGGAGGCAATTGTTGGTTAAAGAAGCATGGAAAGCAAGTATTTGCAGAACTCTTTCCTATTTGAAACAAGAATTTAATGGTAATACAAAGGAAAAAGGAAAATAGATTACTGCATGATTTTGTGGTCTAAAATGCATATTTCTGGAAATACTGCAGAGCAAATTCACTGCAAAGATTCCATAATTTCAAAAATCATGAGGAAATTATATCACACAAAATACTGAAAGAAGATAAAAAGAATATTTAAAAAATATATCCCAACACTGCCTTATATCATGAAATCTGAAAATGACCATTACTGTTTTACAAAAGCAATATTTTATTATATTTTCATATCACTGGGACTTAAAATCTGAAATGCTTTGCACATGGAATGGCAGATACAGATAGACAATGTTGAGACTATATAAAGATTATCACTGGGGAAATATGAATATGAACTGGCTTATACTATAAAGATAGAAATATTTTACATGTATTCAAAAATGCACAATCTATATTTCTAATAACTTTCCTAATAACAAATAGGTGAGAGAGATCAAGCAATTGAATTCATTTCAATTCAACCCAATTCAGCATTGCAATTTCATTTAGGTTTCTAGTGTCTAATCACAAAGCTTTTCCGTGTCACTGTTATTAACTTCTTTCATTAACTTAGATTCAGAAAATACATTTGTTTTAAGTAACAATGAAGGACTAGAGCCTTTAAAATGTCTGGGTATTTTAGCACTGCACAATTTCTGAATTCTACTTGAAAGAAATGTAAAGATTTATCTGGTATGTTTACTGCCCTCTCTCCTTCAGAAAAATGCTGCAGTATGTTTTAATTTTTGCTCATTCCCCTGAAAAACTCTATTTTAATTCAGTTAGATGCAATAAAAGCTATTGCTAAGCAAGAGCTGATTAGCTGCTACTCTGTTAAGTGTGCTTGAAGCAAAACATTTTTTGTTATGAATAAGGTATGACTTAAAAATAACTGCAATGTAAGTGTACCATGGAAGTTCTATGTCACAGAGGTGGAATTTAACAATAGTTTGAGGTGAGGTTCCATCTAAAGTAGTTAATAACCTGTTTCTCCCAATGGACATTATTAGTTAGATCTCAGAACTCTGTTTATAACTGTATTGCAATTTATTACAGTGTTGTCATTTAACTAGTGTAGGGTGTCCCAGGTTTAAAAAGCGAAAAGATTGTGCCGAACAGAAGACATTAAACAACACACAGAGGTGTGAGAAACACCTACCATGAAAGAATCTGGTTGTATCCATATTGGAAATCTCTTTCTTGGCATTTCTGGACAGGATATGCCAGTTGGTTCTCATGGAAGTAAAGGACCTTTTTCAATTTGCCAAGGTCAGGCCGAAGGGCAATAAGTTCAGTCAGGTTAAGCACTGAGCTTGCAAAGAGGATCCTGAGAAACAAGGAGAGTAGTGTTTACTGTCTATGAGCATGCTCAAAAGGGTCACCCTTTACCCTTCTCCTCCCCTTCTCCCCCCACAAGAAAAACATAACCCCTATAGGGACACATCAATAGCTAAGCCTTAATACCATGTAGCAGCATTCTAAGTTTTGATCTCTTAAAAAGCAGCTGCTAAGAACTGAACTAGAAAAGCACTGAATCTCATTGGTCTTCTCAGCTCAGTTACAGAGAGATGCAAAATAAAAAAGCTGGATGGATTTTATTGAAAAAGGCAAGAAAAGCTCTATCTGAAGGACAAATGGAACAAAGATAAGGCTGACTGGGGAATACTTTGCTTGCCAGTTTCATTACACTTTACTTCTTTATGCAACCGACTACTGAAATTCAATATATGAGCAGAAATGGCACATGTTCATGTTATGACATAAACCCTTTTGATTTATGCAGTACACTTATCTGGTGTGGTCTTTTTCTTTTCTATGTTTTCTTTTCTCATTTTTATTAGGTATACTATATATTATTTTGTTGTTGTTGTTTTGTTTCCTTGAACTCCAATATTGCCACAGTACTTGTTACTATTCCACAGTTCATAAAATTATATAAAGCGAGTACAAAAAACATTAACCCACTGATTTTTTTTTTTTTACTAATTTTTTACTGATTTGTTTGCAATAACTTTACAAACAATCAGCAAATTAACTTATCTAAATCTATAGAATAAAATCTTGGTCCCAATAAAATTGTATTGATTCAAAGCAGTCAAGATTTCACCCATAAGTAAGCTAGTATTTAATATCCTCTGGATAGTGTGATTTTGATGTAAACCAACATTCTGAATCATTGTGGACTATATATCCATAGATTTGTATTTTAACTCTCAACAAACATTTGAAATTGTTTAATCTTAAATAGAGCACCAAGCTGAAACAGTGTATTTCTCACTAATTTGCTAGCCCAACATCCAGTCTAATAATGTAAACGTAAAATAATAATCCATTCTAATAATGCAAACACTGGACCTTATAACTTTTGCCAATTTCTTCCTATTTTATTCAAGACAACTGGCCAATTGATATCATGGAACGATAATCCATTTGCACTGGTTAGCCTTTCAAACTTTCCATTGCCTGAGATAGCTAAATGTACATTAGTGTTTCCAAAGTATTCTGTACACTAACTATAAACTTAGAAACGTTGAAAACTTAAGTCATTCTATAGGTAATCACAGGACCTACTGAACATACGTAGACAGAAGGCAGCTGTTACTAACTCTCATCATCATGACTCAATCCTGACCCAGAAAAATCACTACCAGGTTGGGATAGTAATGATAGATACATGCCCATTAAATATTTGGTCTTTCTAATAAGGTTGTTAAATAGGGTGTCAAATAAGATAGGAGCACTTGTTATGAGACACGTCATGACCAACAAATCATTTCAAAGAAGCCATAAAACTTGTCAAAAGTGATAAAAATCTTTTGACCCCTAATCACCTAGGTAGATTTAAAGAAGGATAAAAAGACTTTAAAATGTGTGCTAGGCATTTTACTGAATGTAGAAAACACAAAGTCCTTGTCCAGAGGAGCTTACAATCTAATTTTAGTCATAAGAGAATGACTGAAAGAAACAAACACTAGTGGGGGATACAGAAGGTCAAAGATTACAATAATAAGATTAAATAGTTATTTGGGTAAATTGTAGGCTTGTGTTGATGATGTCACTGTACATCCCCTCCCTGCTTCTTCCACAATACTTTCCTCTCTTCTCTACCGGTCTGGAAAGAAAATTGATTCATGCAGTTTAGAGCATGTGGACCTGGCACAAGACACAGCTTCTTTGGAGATATTTAAATGGAGAGAAAAAAAACAAATATGGGACATCTAGATAGAAAACATGGATCACATCACGGAAAAAGGCACAAAGGAAGGAGAACACAGTCAAACTCTAAAGGGTAATACTACTGTTGGAGAAAAAGATTCACCAGGAAATATCATGACAAATAAGAACCAAAGGCTAGGGCTAGGCCAGAATCATGTAGCACGCTGTTGTTTGATCTCAATATGGTAGACATGGATGAAGATAATAGAGGGAATCTGAAGAAAATGGTTGTATCAACAGACAACAGCACTTTGGACAAACTAAAGCATGCAATGGAGGCATTAGAAAAAAAACCTACAAATAGAAAGTATTTGGAAACGAATGGTGAAAATGACAAGGACTTAAAAAATGTTTTGGTTATTCTGACACAAAAAGAAAGGTTAGATTTTCTAAATATTAGACAAAAAGTGGCAACAGTTAATAACCTAATCATATTTCATTATAAAGGAAAATGTATGAATTTGAAATAATTTTATTTTCCCACTATAAGTGTGAACAAAATTTAAATTAATCACAGCATTATAAATTGTCCTCAAGATCCCCTTATGCTACCCCATAATATTCTTCCATAATGTAATCCTATATACATTAGCTACCCTCAGCCTTGTTTCTTTACTGGCACAGAAACTATTCATGACTGGCAATAACCAATTTCTGAGACATTATAAGCTTAAATAATACCTGACAGTACAAGTCATTGTGAACATGCCCACAGAGAAGTAGTGTATATGGCTAATGGACTCATGCAGGGCACTGGAGGATATGTTGAAGAGTATTTCCACTTAACACCTATTACTAGGAGAGGAAAGGAAAGTTTATTACAATGTAATGTGTGACATAAATATATGTCAGTTGTCATTCTATGTGACATCAACTTTCATTTTACCTCAGGTTATTATTTAAGTAATAAATCCTAACAAGGTGAGCTTTATCATCCCACTGAGTATATCCGGGAGGTAAAGACACAAGGTGATAGCAAGAATGCTGGAAACATGATAATTCCTGACAGCTGCTGCTTGAGCACAAGTTAAATTGAACAGTTTATCTCAGCATAAAGATGTTATAAGGTTTTATGTTTAATTTAAAAAAATTAACATAAAACCCAGAGAAAGCAGAGTTAGGCAATCTTTCACAAACATGACATACTACAATCACTGTATAAGCTGGATTAGTACTTATTACCATGCTACTAGAGAATTAAGCTGTTTTTAGACCACCAAAGAGCTTTAAATTGCAACTTTTGTCTCTGTAAGAGAAACCTATATTTAAAACGTCTGCTAAATTCAAATTAACAGCTACATCATTAGCCTACCATCTCACAAAAAGTACATTTAAACTGCTATTACAGTCTTCTTATCTAGACCCATAAACACTACAAACATGTTAATATATACAGTAAGCTTCTATACCCTATATTCTCTGTACATATTACCATGAAATGCATGTTAAAAGCAACCCTTCTTAAGTGGCTAGCTGCCCTAAGTGACCACCAGAAGGTACCCCAAGTATATTTCATAGTTGTAAATTACTTTCCATACAACAAGAATTAATTCACAAACCAGCTCCCAAGTGACTAGACAAACTGTTTTGGACTTTCACAGCCACTTAGAACATCCCATATACATGCCAAATTAACTACACTTACGCTTAACTTGAATAATATAATAATCCCTCTGACTTCAATGGGACTGCTTATGTGAATCAAGTATAGCACATGCTCAAGTGTTTGCAGGTTTAGGCCACAATTTGTGGATAATCTGAACTTTGTGTATTTTTGTCTATTGAGATTTCCGGTTGAAACACTGAAGAGCAGTAAAATAAAATAAACTTTGCATTTTTATTTCACTTATGATTACATTAATGACCAGTCAGAACAAAGATTGATACAATTTACATTAAGTAGTTTACAAAAATAGAGTACTGTTGTTTAAGTATTTTTAACTGCATTATAAACTTTCTACTTGATATCACTTATGGTGTTACTCTCAACTTTTCCATTTTGTTCTCATGGAACTTTACTAAAAGACCACAACCTGTTCCTTTCTTGAGTGGCCCCACAATGGAGGACTCAGTGCATACATAAATATATACACATAATGCACATACGGGAAAAAGCAACACTACCTATACTGATATTCTTGACTGCTACCGTTACATCTTACAGTTTCACAGTGGTAGGGAGATTACACTAGGCCAGAAGAGAGAGGACCACGCAGCTTACATGGCTGTTAACTTTATTGTTCTAATGGGAGCCAAAACTGAAAACCAACATGTTGCCTAAGGAGGCACAGAGCAAATAAACATTTAAAAAACAGTACCATTTTTAGCATTTGAGTCACATATTGGATACTAGTAATTAACGTAGTTACTGTCCAGTAAATCTGTATGGCTTCAAGCTCCACTGCACGCCCAAACTCCTGCACTGTTGCTACAGAATCTCACACTAACACTGCTTCCCAACATGCCCCCATTGTCTCCCCTGTGTTTCAACACATGAGGTGACAGAGTTGTGAGACAGAGACTCTTCCTTCATCTTTGTACTGACAGAGTCCTCCAACAAAAAAGGAATATTCCAATTCAGATCCGTGGCTGCCTATAAACCCATTTTGTCCAACAAACCTGGAGCATGGGATTGAACTGGAATTCAAACAGAACTCAGCAACACTTCTGGTCTTATGAAAAATTAAATAATTTAGCTTGTAAACATCAGTGTATACGTAAATGTATTATCTATGATTCTCTAATCTTTCACCAGACTACAGGTGTTATTTACTAATATCTGCATTGGAAATTTCCTTTTTGTTGAGGAAATCTGTCAGTACAAAAAGGATGGAAGAGCCTCTGCCCTCCCATGTGCTAGAACACAGAAAAGATATTGGGGGTATAATGGGAAGGAAAGAGGGTGTTACAATGAACCCTATGGCAGCAGAGCAGAAGTCTGTGCAGTGGAGATTCAAGCCCATGAATATTTACATTAATAGTATATAATTTATGACTGAAACACACAGCTGTCAGGAAAGTCAGTATAAGCACTGCTAACTCTTCTCTTCTATGTACTGATTGGCCCAATTCCTTCCAAAGCTTGGGCTGGATTTCAACTGAACATAGATA